CAAGGGTCCTCATTATATCCTCGGGCACTACTTACTCTACATCCCAATTTTAATTGGTCATGTGCTATGGTGCCTAGGCTTGAGACATGGATGCCTCACACTTATTTTGTGAACGATGAAAATGAAGATTTTTAGCATAGTGTCTTTATTACAGGTACATTTCTTGGACAAGATTGTTAATACAAAGAAAATTGGCTAACACCCTTTAATCCAATATTCTCTAATATGGCTAATATTTCTAAATATTGGGCATTGGGATGCCTATGTACCCCGATACCTATTCTTAAAACATAATAGGCTCTTCACTAGATGAGTACATTTTCTGGAATATTACATTATCTCCCCCTCCCCCTTAGGAACATTCTTCCCCGAATAACACTACATATCATTTCAAATCAAAGAGGGTAATTTTGAAAATGCATTAACATACTTGAAACTTTATTCTTTGTGAATTACTGATTCACACTTACACTAGATGCTGCATATTACTCAAGCTTATCTGAAACTTCAAACTTCAGAATGAGGAACTTCCTTTTAAACCACACTTAACTTAATGCACATCACGACTCATGCAACACAAAAATCATATCTACACTATACAAAAACAACAACATGAATGCAAGAATGAACTCATATTAACTCATAGAGTGCAAGTATAAAACACACAATTATGGACTTAAAACACCAAAACCGACTAATGCACTAAAATTTAAAGTTTTATAAATAAAATTAGACTTAGGAAGAGTATATTTATCCTCAAGAACTGAATAAGTGAGGGTAATATGATCTCATATTAGCCTCGGCCTCCCATGTTGCTCCCTCGAATAAGGTGGTTCCTCCATAATACCTTCACGGTGGAAACCTCCTTGTTCCTCAGACGCTTCACTTGGCGATCTAAAATTGCAACATGAACCTCTTCATAAGAAAGGTTCTCATCGACTCCTAACCCCTTAGATAAAATCTTATTCTTTTTAAGATTGGAAACTATTTGGCTTGTTGGGTTTGAACCACGCCCTTCCCATTTCAACTCTAACTCATTTGGCAACTGTAACCTTACTACCCTGTTTCGATAGTCTATGGTAGCATAGCATTTATGAAGTCAGTCCATACCTAAAATTATATCAAAATAAAGCATGGTTAATTCTATTAAGTCAGCATAAGTAACTCTATCAAGAACAGTTATTGGGCAATCTCTATATACCCTTTTATCTCTAATGTTATCTCCTATGGGAGTACTTACTAGAAAAGGTTCATGCAAGATCTCAGGAAGCAAGTCAAATTTACTAGCTACTAAAGGAATAACAAGAGAAAAGGTGGATCCCGGATCTAACAATGCATACACAGGAAAAGAAAAAACATGCAAGATACCAGTGACCACATCAGCTGACTTCTCTTGCTCCTCTCAACCTTTCAAAGCATAGAACCTTAGTTTGGTGCCTTAGACCAACTCGACCATCTCAACACTTTTTGTACCAAACCTGAGCCACATCCTTGAGCTGGTATACAACCAACTCAGCCTTCTCCTTTTCGTTAACACCCATGGCACATAGAATTTTGTGTAGACTGGAGGATTCATTCTGGTGAAATCCCTCAATTTGCTAGCCATGGTGCTAGCATGTGGGTTCTCCATCGGAGTGCCCTCTCTAGTGGCATGGGCTGTGATAGAATGTGCCTGAGTAGTCATGGCTTGGGCCATCTAAACTAGTGTTTCTCTCACTTTTCCATCTGTCAACGCAGCTGGGTTGACTGGCACTTGTACTCCAGTGGTTGGGGATTGAGGAGGAGCTTGGTTTCCCCCAGCAGCTGCTTCTCTAACTCTCCCACCTATGTTTATTTTTGTGTTCATTCTCTACACGCATACACAAGAAGGAAGTTTGATGCTAGAATGACACAGAATGTCAAATCTCTACACGGCATGATAAAGAGTAGAAGAAAGGAAGATTTTTAACATCACTTAGTATCTAAGTCATGATTGTGGCGCGCTTAACAACCATAAGTTAGAAAATATGTAACGTGGTTGTTTTGAGCTTTAGTTCCTAGGTAATTTAACCTCATGCTCTGATACAAAGTTTGTCACACCCGGATTCAGCAATCCAAATGCAACCGACGTCGTTAACCTCTCAGAGGTCGCAGACAAGCCTCTTCTTAGCTTTCATCATAATCATATAGTTAAATTTGCGGAAAATTTAAAACTCTTATAGCATAGTGAAGTATACATAGACTTCATATGATTACTACATAAAATAATATTCTAATGAGCTCAAATTAAACAACCATCTACAATCAATTAAGCAATTAAATGAAGAAATAAATAGATAGTAATAGTTTGCCAAACGACCTTAATACAAAGCTTCGAATAAAAGTATGAAATGAAACGCTAGAGACGACATCCACTAGCTATGCCTAAAGTATTAAGCTAGAATGATAGGTGTAGCATCCTCAAACTCAAGAGGACCTACCAAAGTCTGGAGATCGCTGATTCAGACCACTTGAATGAGTCTTCAACCTTCTATTTGGCACCTATAAAGATAATAATAGTATAGGGTTAGTATACACTTGGAATAAGTATGGGTGTATGCACATATACACATAAGGACTATGCATGATCAACGAAAGCTCTTCCTATAACAACATGCCAATTCAGGAAAATGAAGTCACTAGACTTTCTTAATTCGTTATTTGTGAATTATAGTATGAATATGACATATTTTAATGCATTCAATGCACACAACTCATTTTATATATGAACATAAGACCTTAGAATCATGAACATAATTTTAGAAGAAATCGAGCAAAAATTTTGAAATTTGATACCCCAAACCCGAGAGCTCCTCTTTTTGTGCTTAGTTTATTTTTCAGTCTCTTTCTTCTTGTTGTTATGTAGTTCAATGATCTCCATTAAGCCTATGTTTTACTTACAAATGCAATGATTCATTGTAGTCCCATACCTACAATGAATCAAGTAAGTAGTCTGAAGGACTAAGGATATGATTTAACTACAATTTGGCATGAAATTTTATTAAGCCAATCTTAATTAGTTATGCCTAATATGTGATTCTGTACATAATATAAGAAATCATTATAAGCCAATCTTATTTGGCTATTATCATGTGCATACTATAATAAGTCATTATAAGCCAATCTTATTTGACTTTAATCACTTTCATAATAAAAGAAGTCATTATTGGCTATGCCCATTATTTGCTGAAAACTTCATTCTTATAAACACTGATAGTTGATATTCTTAAGATCTTGCTTCCTTATCTCACTTTGAACATATATCTCTTCTTCTTCTTTCTTTCTTGCTTTCTTAAGGGCATCTTTAGAATTAATATCATGCGAGCTAACATGAAATCCAGATAAGATCTTGGTCTTGCTCGCCTTTTACTTCTGACACTAATGATGATTCAAACCTATTCATTACCAATGATACTCCTTTAGAATTCATTAATTGAACTCCTAATCGTGCAAGTCTATGCACATCTTTTGCTAACTCTTTCTTATCTTCCTCAAAATGGGTTGTACTACCCATAGACAACCTTCTTCGCATGAGATTAATCTATTTATACCTAAACACATGACGAAAACTCTTGTGATTGGTGAACATATCCACATGAACACCATAAAGATAATGGCTTCATATTTCGAAGCAAATATTACAACAACAAACTCTAAGTCATGGGTTGGATTATATTTCTTATGAACTTTAAACTTTGTTGGTGTCATTCTGTATGGTGGAAAATATAAGACAAGTATCTAGAAATGATGTCTATCCTGAAGTCTATTTCTCTTTCAGGAGAAACTCCAGGTAAGTCATCAGGAAAGACTTTTGGAAACTCTGTTTCTACTAAAACTGAAACTAACAAAATAGGAGGTAAACAATAGAGTCATTAACTCGAACTAAGTGATAGAAACCCCCCTTAGAAACTAACTTCCTTGTCTTAAAGGTATGAAATGAAACGACCCTTAGGCACTGCTGAACTGATTTTCCACTCTAAGACTATCTCATTTTAAAACTGAAACTTAACTACTCGAGTTCTACAATCAACTAAGGCATAACAGACATGAAGCCAGTCCATACCAAGAATAACATCAAACTCTACCATGTCTAACTCAATTAAATTTGCCATGGTACTCTAGTGATTGATGAAAATGGTTCAATCACGATAGACTCTCTTTGTTAGAATGGACCCACCAACTGGTGCGGAAATACTGAATGATTCACTAAGTTGTTGAGGAATAATATCAAAATTCATAGGAACATATGGAATTACATAAGATAAACTCGCTTTTGGGTATAGAAAAACATAAACAGTGAAGTCAAAGACTTGAATATACCACTGACAGCATCTGGAGAATCCTCTTCCTCTTGGGAACCTTTTGTAGCATATAGACGGTTTGTTCCCCGCCGATACCATTTCCTTGCATGTTCTTTAGACACTCTCTAATGAAGTGACCCTCTTGTCCATACTTGAAGAAACCTTTCTGGTCTTGACGACACTTTCTTGGGTGGGTTCTACCACACCTAGCACATGCAGGAGCCTAGTTACCTTATTATGCCATACTACCATGAGACATGCAGGTCTAGCTCTGAAGTTTTGCGAATTCTGGACAGTATACTCACTATTATTTCTGGGTTCAAGTGCTCTAGCAGATGATGACACTACTACAAAAATAGGATTTAGTGACATTTATTTTGCAGCAATAACCTAATTGCCGCTAATGTATTCAGTCGAGGCAAAATATCAACGCTAATATATAATGACGAGCAATAAATATGTATTAAGTAGCAAATTAAAAAAGAAAAATAGTCAAAAATACCCCCCAAATTTGATTTATTGTTTAAATTTACCCTCGTCGTTAAAATGAATTTAATTTTATCCCTCTCGTAACTAATTTCACCAAATTTACCCATTAGACGAATTGACCCAAATTAACCCGATTTTTTTTATAAAAAACCCAATTTCTTATTATAACTCAATAAACCGACCCCATTTAAAATAACCCGACCCATTCTCCCAAATCTCCTATATTCCCATCTACCCATTCTCCCAAATATCTTTATTCTCTCCGTCAAAAGCTTGCCTAAAAACAAATTGATGAGTTGAAGCCTGGAACAGGAGTAACAGTCGGGAGGGGTTGCAGTGGTGACTAATGAGGAAACACAGAGGGTGAGGGCAGTAAAGGGGGAAAAGAAGCAAGGGGCATGTAGAAGAACGACAAAGAGGAGGGGAGAACGGTGCAGCGGAAACATGAATCTTACGCCAACTGTGTTTATGCTTCAGCTGATATATTCATGCTATACAAATATTTTCCATTTAAATATCCAAGCTTATATTCTATCATAGTTCTCATACAACATTTATCTATTTGGGTGTTGAACAAAAATATGAGCTCTTTACAGTTAGCTTTATTGAAAACATACATATTTTGCTTTTGTCTTAAGAGAAAAGAACAATCCTATATGCTTTTGCCTTATGAAACTAGGTTGTCTTTTTTTCTAACTCATTAATTTGTTCTTAGGCTTACCTTGTGAGGGAGAGTACGAAGGAATTTTGTGAGAATGGGTAGATGAGAATATAGGAGATTTGGTAGAATGGGTCGGGTTCTTTTAAATGGGGTTAGGTTATTGGGTTAAAATAAGATTTTTTTTTTAAAAAAAATTTCGGGTCAATTTGAGTCAATCGGTCAAATGGGAGTAAATTTAGTGAAATTAGTAACGAAGGTTAAAAATTAACTTCATTTCACAGTATTCCGGAATGTAGAATGTTCTTCTCCAAAATTTGGGCGATAAATGTTGCCTCTCCTGGTTCTGTCTCTATAGGTCTGTATCTGATTCTTTTTCTGTGTATTGTTGTTTCTCGATTGATCTCGTTTCAGATTTTAGCACTCTATATTTTGTATTATCATGTTTATTAGTGTCGGTTTGCAAAGCTGTGATGGTGATCTCTTGATTCTATTAATTTTATTGCAACTTATTAAATCTATTCTTCTGTTTTCCTTATTGTTTTTATGAAGCTCTTTGATTTTACTGTTGTATAAGGCGGCTGTTTTATATTTGTAATTCATGATGATTCAGAAATTCCATTGAGTATGAGAATCACTACAAGAGAACTATTGTTTTGTTTTGACTACATCTTTTCATAAATTTTAACTTTAGCGATTATTTATAATCTCCTATCTTCAAACGCAGCCCTCTCTGTAACTTCGATGTTCTGCTATCTATCAATAAGAACCCTCTCAATGAGCTCTCTCTGTTAACGACGCTAATGCTAGTTACCTGAAATCGTGATTATAAGTTGCTGAAAAATTCAGCAATCTGAGTCGTATTTTTGAGGGAGGGGTGTGAATTATTCAATTTCTTTGTTTTATTTGAATCATTTCAGCCTCTAATATAACTTAATCGTCAATGATCTACAGGTTATGACCGTAGGTAATGATATATTATTATTACCTTGGTATTTGACAATTCCAGTTGTATTTATGACAATAACTGAGTTTGTAGATGCTTTGATCATATTTGGTTATTTTCCCTCCATGTATGAGATTTAGGAGATGAAATCTCAAATTCAATAACAAATGTGTCTGAAGAGTATGACCATTATAAAGCTTATTATTTTATTATATAACAGGGCAACACCTAAAACTAGATCAATTAGTTGTTGTCCAGTTACATTGACTAAAACTTGAGCAAGAGCTATAACGATGATTGGTTCTATTACTGATGTTCGATGTCGTTGTTCTCTGCAACTCTGTCTGGATTTTCAACTTGCAATTTCTATTGACATTTGTTGGAATGATTGTGAGTTCATTCTCTTTGACAGATGGCTGGACAAATTTCTTAATTAAAACGGATACCAAGTGAGTTGTAATTTTATTTCTTGAGATGGTAACAGATTTTTATTGATCGACTATTTAATGGTTATCCAATCTTTTTACTCTTACTCTTATTTATTGGTTATCCAATATTTTTCCTCAGCAAAACAGTCCAGTCATCTATATAGTCACCTATAGCAAATCTATTTTCAGCAATTAGTTGCGGCCTAGTTATATTTACTAAAGCTCGAGCTAGAGTTGTAATGATTGGTGGTTTCAACGCTACTGGTTCACGCCTCTGTTCTCTCCAAACTTGTTTGATCTTGCAATTCCTTTGGATAGGTTACTGGAAAGATTTCTTTGGACAAGTTATTCATCTTGCAATTTCTTTTCATCTCGTGCTACAATTCCTTCTCACCTTCTCAGATTATTAATATCAATGTGAAACATACAACTTTAGAGCTCTAGTCATTGGTTTGACTATCAAGGGTCATATGTTTTTATACTACATGAGTTATTGAGAATTTCGACAATAAAGTAGGATCGACATAGACTTAGAAATCACTACATATCAGTTTCATATGGACCTGCACATACTTAATAGTCTGCATATTAGGAATCTATCCATCTGGATAAGCCAAAGACCTCATAGATCTGTTGAATTTTTTCTAACTTTATCATGACTTAAATGCTTGATATTAAGCCACTAAAAAGATTGTATTACTCAAGTCGCTAACCTGAGTTCCTAAGCATCATGTCTCGATGTTTCAGATAGAACAATACAGAGATATAACGCCAACAGGAGTATTATGTTACTTGAGTTTATGATTTCTGAGCATCGTTCAGGTGCTTAATCACATATTTTTTCTTGCATTTGATGATTTTCGGATCTTTCTTCATTCTACATAACTTAGAAACAAGAATGACTCGTTTTCTTACATTACTAAAAGATATTAAGAAATTTCCAAGTGCTTCTTAATTTTGGCTTTTACAAGGTGTGTGGTTGTATAATCTACTGATTTTGTTGGAGAATATACATGAAATACAATTTAGTTAATTTAATTGTAAATCATATAGTCGAGGAGCTCTTACTATTGACTGTTTAATGCGCGAACAGTAGCTCTTCTACTTTCAGCAATTCTTACCTAACTTGTTTATATATTTCAGCTTCTCAACACCAACAATGGCCAAGAACAAGTACCACAGTCATCAAGAATACCTAATAGTGCTGAAATTACTTCAAGTCACGGTACTACTCATCTTTATCCTGTAACTCTACTTTTTGATTTTTCTTGCTTCATAATGTTTTGTGGGTCGATAAATCAAATTTCTTATTTTGCACTTCTTACTTCCTTGATTTGGTGAATTCTTTTACTTTGTGTTAATGAATTGTGATGAGCTACAAAATTTCAAGATAAAAAAAAACTATTAGGAGAGAATAGTTCACACTGATAGATATTCAATAAATCTTAAAGTCTGAACAATTATATGGATCAGCTAATACTTGAGCAATTAGTTCTTCCCCTAATACATCGAGTAAAGCTTGAGAAAGAGCTGTAACGAACACTGGTTTGAGCACTACTATTCCATTGCCTATGTTCTGTGCAAATCTGTCTTGAAATTGAACTTTCAATTCCCATGGATAGGTTGATAGTCGGGTTGCTACTTCATTTTCTTTGAAACATACAGTCGAGGAATTCAAATTATTTATTGTTTAATGCACGAGCTTTAGAACCTCTACTTTCAACAATTATTTGCTACCTTAGAATTCCGAAGTGAAATTTGTAGTTGAAGAACGTTAGAAAATTACTTGTAGCAGCTATACTTTTAGCAATTAATTGTCTCCCAACTACATATGAAATCAAGCTTAAAGTGACTCCATTTTCATGTTCTACTTGGTAACTTTCTATAAGTTAATAGGGAAAACAAAGATTATAAGTTTTTCTCTATAGCTCCATAGAACAATTTGTAGCCCCATTTCCATAGAAGATAAAAATAGAGCTTAAGGACTTCAAGCACATGAGCTACGTGGGAAGTTCTTATTATATTGCTGTTAAGTTTCTCAATATGGTCATAGTTAGGAGGACAACTAACATAGTGCCAAAGGAAACAAATCACAGCTTAAGGAAATAGCTAAAATTCTATCAATGGGCTTGTGTTTTGCTATTGTGTCGATTGTGTCTCTATATGGATGTGTTCTCTTCTTCTATCCCTCCTTATATCTTTCTTCTAGGTGTGTAATTATATAATCTGGTTTCTCTTCTTTTCCTATTTATCCCATCTGCTATGATTACTACCTTAGTAGTTAGTACATAGGCTTCTAATGTGTTATTATATTATCAATCATAATAAGCCTATAGGGTGGTTAATGAAATACTCACACTTCATTACTATCTTAAGAAAACAACCTAATCAACGTGCTTGAAGCACCACAAGTCTTTCTGGTATTATCTATTCGAAGCAGATAACAAATAACATCTTGTTTTACCAGGTTTAACTACTGCAAGATCTCCATTGGCAAAACTAACATAAAGTATTTAGAAATGGATTTAACATTGGTCCTAACTTTTAGTTGAAAGGTCAATCTTTTTGTAGTTTTATCAGTTTTAACTTCACCAAAAAAGGTAAGAATTATGCAGCTCCTCTTGGTTAGGATAAAAGGTTGTTAGTTTATCTTCATATTAATGAGTGGGAAACTGAACATGTTCTTTAGAAATGCCAATAAATTTTTAGACTTAAGTATAATGTCCTTAGTATAGCCCAAGGGCTGCTATTTGACTATGTGCCTTCCCAGTAGTAGTCATCATGTATATAAGTGTTGGATATATGTCACGATTAAAGCTACCCTGCCAAAATGTAATTAATAATTAACAATTATAACTACTAAACCTTGATGTCTTCTCGATCAAGAGATGTAGCAAATGTTGATTCCATTACTAATGTTCCACACCTCTATTTTCTATGAAGATGTCTTGCAAATGAACATGCAATTCCTTTTGATATGTTCCTGTACAGATTGAGAATCCATTCTCTTTGACAGATGTCTGGACAGATTTGAGAGTTTAAAAGGACCCTTTGTTAGTTTGCCAATCCCCTTTGGTGAGATTGTAAAAGATTTTTGTTGACTACTTATTACATGAGATGAGGATTCTTCTTAATTCGCGATACAATCCTTTTCCTGGTCTAAATAGTCTACTATCATTTAATAGAGAAACATGGATTATTAGTGAGCTCATTTTCACCACTAATTCTTGAATATTCTACATTTGATAACTAGGGGATAATAAGATGGTCATTTTATTTTTTGTAGCCAATGACAACTCGAAGATACTAGTTTAAAGCATTTTTCGCTCTAATGTTTTATGGTATTTCACCCTATGCCATGTGGAGTTTTGTAACATTCCGGAAAATCATGTCTAATGAAGAGTCCAGTATGCCCTTAGGATAACCTATTAGGGGTACATAGACACACCAATGCCCAATATTGAGAATAGTGGGCATTAGTATAAAAAATTGGCTAAGGGATATCAGCCAATTTTGCTTATACATATTAGAAATATACTTTTTGGGTTATCACACCCCAATACAAGATTGATTTTCAATAAATGTGCCTGCAATGAAGACTGTAAGCTAAAAGAAAAATCCGTTTAGAATAGTTACACACAAAGTAGTAGGCATTCAAGTGTCAAGCCTAGTACCATAGCACATGATCATTTAAAATGATCATGTAAATTAAACAGTACCCAAGGACATACTAAGGGTCCTTGGGACAATAAGTAAACATTTCCAAATGAACCATAAATAATAGTTAGTTAGGGAAGTACAACCAACCCATGTGCAAACACATGTGCAAGACATATGAAGAAGTGGTTGAGGGGACCACCCTAACCGAATTCGGTTAGGGATGTTAGGGGAGAAAACGTGCACAAGGGACCCCTCCATGTGGGGCCTAACTTCCTAACTAATTATGGACTCTAACCTACTGACCTAAATAGCTAACTAACCTTGGACCAAACGAAATAAACTAATTAGTGCACTCGACAACCTTGGACCAAAATCGGGTTGACACTAGCCTAGTACTAGTTAAAGATACAACCTAGTACATAACTAAGGTTGGTCCAAAAGATTAGTTATGGTCCTAAAAATTTAGGGGTACTTTAGTATTTCGTATTGGTTAATTAATTAATTTAGAAATTAATTAATTAATATAAAGGGCTAAAATCGAAACTAAAAAGGAAAATTTCAGATTCCGATTAAGACAAGAAAGGGACAACCTATTATCTAACCTAAGATTGTCCAAAGAGTTAGTTAAGGTCTTAAAAACTTAGTGATACTTTAGTAATTTGCTTAGGCTACTTAATTGATTAATTTAACAACTTAATAAATTAATTTAAAGGGGCAAAACCGAAATCACAAAACAATTTCCAGATTTCGGTTAAAACAAGAAAAAGACAACCTAGTATTTATCCTAGGATGGTTCAAAGGATTGGTTATGGTCCTAATGACTTAAGGGTACTTTCGTAATTACCTTAGGTCACCTAATTAAGTAAATTAACAATTTAATTAATTAGTTTAAATGATCAAAACAAAATTCTTACACTAACCTAGTACAACTCACGAAACATCCTAGTACTTAACCTAGGATGGTCCAAAAGGGTTAATTTTGGTTCCAATGCCTTGAGGGTACTTTAGTACTTACCCTAGGTACCTAAATTAATTAAATTAAGGATTTAATTGATTAATATAAAGTCAAAATGTTGACCAAACGCATAGTCAACACCAATTTCTAGATTTGACTAAGTGTTATGTTCTCCAATGTTTAGTCAACTTAGGAGGGACGTTTTGGTAATTGGTTAATTTGTTTATTAAATTAACTTATTAAACCTAAGTTGAATAATTCAAGATCTGTTCTTTAACCTTAAAATCACGTTCAAACACATAGAAAAAAAAAGGACGCAAAATAGTAAGCAAGCGATGGAAAGAAAAACATAAAATTCCATTGATTCTCCTAGGAGATTTCAAGGTTTCTCCAAGTTTTTGTTCAAGATGGTCTTCGTAGATTAAGTTCTACTTAAGATATGGGTTTATCTCTTGGAATTCTTTCTCCAAGAGTATTTTCCTTCGAACGATTCATAAGATTTTAAAAACTAGGGTTGTTCCCGTTGAACTTCCCTTCCATAGTATCCTTTTCGATTTCAATGTTGAATAGGTGAGAGATCATGTTGTTGGTATGTGGTGTTGACTGTTCTTAACATGTATTGTTCTTGAATGATGAATATCAAATGAATTTATGAACTTGTAATTGCGTAAAGTTATCTTATCATGATAATTAAGGATCGATAATATGTTAAGTTAAGTCCATGATGTATTAATATGTGTTTTTGGCTGAATGTTGACTTGATGTCATGAAGATGTTAAAGCCATCAAATGTTAATATAATGCTGTCCAATATGTTCTTATGAGAGTTATGTGAACCTCTGCCCTTCCCGAAGGAAGGCATCACCGCTCATATAAAGTCCCATTTATATTCAACTCATACATCATGGAAGCTGACTTCTAGTATAAGTACATCATTGCTCATTAAATGATTTCTCATCTCATTATTAGTATTAAGTGTGAATTGTCCTTACACTTACATATATAGTATTATTGAGGATTGGCTCTTGATATTCAACACTCTCTTAGGTGTGTACTTTTAGTGACCTTTACTTAGGCTTTGTTGAGACTTGTCTCACGATTCATCTTAGCCTCTTATCATGTTGTCACCATTTTCATTGGCATAATATATTAACATAATTACTCATCTCATTACGTGAATGTTCATTTCTTCTTTATCTTTTAGTGTTGACTCAAGCATTATGGAGGCTTGCTTCTAGATTGAGATTTACTTCCTCTATTGACGACTGGTCATCCTTACTTTACATTGATGAAATGTGAATTTTCCTTACATATCATCCTTTGGCGTTATTGAGACTGACTCATACATTCTAACACCTTCATACGTGAGTATTCTTTTAACATAGTAGCTTAGGTGTAAGTGAGAGTGGTCTCACTTCCTTTAACACCCCATTCTGGTCAATTACTTACTTTAGATCCCTTTAATTATGTTACAACTCACGTTACTTACTTTAGTGTAGTAGATTCATATAATCGTTTATGGACGATGAGCACTTCATTAAATGAGTTTCATGAGTTCATAGTTCATTTTTGTGGAGCATGTTGGGAGTTGTCCCAATGAATGTCATGCCC